TTAACAATCTAACATCTACCATATTTGTATTAATAATTGTAATTTCATCCGAGACGAGATGTATAATTGAGATTTGTTCATCGTCACTCGAACTGTATGAAATTATAAAATACAACAAACTAAACCTTTTCATAATTGGAGCAATACAAGATTATTTCTAATAATCAATCACATTCCAATGCATACTCTTTTCCCGAAAAAATATTGAAATCCTAATAAAAAAAATTTCTTACATATATATATATATATATATATATATATATATATATATATACCCTCCACCCTTATTTGAGTAATCACGGGTACATACTTAGCCCGTTGCGCGTTTGTAACTCGAGTTCGAGATAGAGAAAACCAGGTCACTCAAAGCAATACACGAATATGCTGGCCAACATGAAAAATTCAAAAAGTACCGTACGCGCATCATTATGAGGCTTGCTTGCGCCTTTGAGGTGTCCTATGAAAAAAAAAGATATCCGTTGCCCTCTTTTGTCCCTGACGAGTATATTTCCCAAAGAGATCTTTAGAAACATAAGGATAAATAAAAAGAAATACCGGGACGCGTACACTCGTAGCTTTTTCCTTGCCGCATATAACGACTCTCCAGCCAATTCTATCCTCATGCTTTGAAACATCAGCCGTGAATTTGCCTCTCTGTCGTCTTTTTTCAACGCCGTTTGCACCTCGAGTATTTTTTCCCTTTTTTGCTCCGATAAGAGGGCAATAAGAGAGAGAGAGAGAGAGAGAGAGAGAGAGAGAGAGAGAGAGAGAGAGAGAGAGAGAGAGAGAGAGAGAGAGAGAGAGAGAGAGAGAGAGAGAGAGAGAGAGAGAGAGAGAAGAGATACACCAAATCAAATATGCGATTGCTACTTTGATGTGACAATTCCATACAATGAAGAAAAGAAAATAGGTGAATAGATTGATTTTCATTGAAATTATTTAATTAAGCTCAATATATTTTTTTCTGCAACAGGTATTTTGTTACAAGCAGCCAAAGAGTCAAAAATAAAGATAGTAAGCGTCGTCATTATCGTTCTCCTGTCGTCAATATTTAAAAACCCTGCTTTGTGACGCTTGAAACATAGAATATTAAGAAACTCATGAAAGCGCGTCTCAGCAAGGCAAGGCGCTGTATAGATAAAATAAGGAAGCTTTGCTTGCTGCAAAACTCTTAAAGATGCCGATGAGGATAAGGATAAGGCGAAAAAATCTTTTATTATTTTCTTCTTGTCGTGCTGGTGCCACCTCACTCTTTCTCTTTTGTTTTTTCCGGGAGCTAAAACGCGAATGAAAAGGAAAATCTATTTTTCTTCTTCTCCCCGCTAAGGAGTCTGAGCTTTCTATAGAGGGTTTTGTCTCCTTGAAGCTCTATTCATAGATTTTAGCGGTTTTAGCGGTAACTCTTCTTCTTTTTGTTCGGCCATTGTAAAATACTGCAATTCATTGTAGAATAAAATGTTATCAGTAATCAGATTATTTGACAGAATTAAAGAAAGCAAACTGTTATGTGATTGTAATCGCGAGTGACATTCTATCTAAAAGCTTAATGTAACATTCTATCAACGGAAAAAGCGATGGATAATTTTGAAAAACCCCTCGCGAGAGGCTGCCGATAAATTCAAAGCTTCATCCAGCGACACAACAGCTTCCATGTTTGCTCTATGCCCACATCACGGAGCTACTATGCTACGGGAGTTTGCGGGCAAAGCCGAAAATCCGACGGAGCAGCAGCAATGTCGTCGAGATTTCTCCGAAATTCGTGTGTAAGATTGATCACCCGGCACAGGCGCGAATATCGCGAATATCGACGACACAACGGACGTGTCAAAAGGCGAGAGCAGACTTTTACTCGTGCTCGAGTAAAGGGCCAAGACAAAGTTGCATAGGTAAGTTGTAGTCGTCGCTGTATTTACTCTTCGCGCTTGCAAGTAAGATTGATATTTTTTCATGGTACATTTTGCGTTTTGGGAGCAGCTTTGTTTGCCTCCGCAAACTATGGAGTCGAGAAAACGCTTATTCTATTTCAGCTTATATTCGATTCTTTCCGTAAAGCAAAAAATTTCTAAAAATTAAAAATAAATACTAGGATCAATAACAATTAGATCATCAATGTGCAAGTGAGAGCAGTTTTACCAACGCATATATTGCTCTAATTATACATCAAAGAGAAACGATTTTTATTCATTTTTCACTTTGAAAAAGAAAATTCCAGCATTAAATGCTCGCGCAGCTGAACGAACTAGGTTCAAATAAAGTCTCGCACTGTCGTGGAAAAAAGAGATTTTTTGCAACTGTCGCTCTTGCGTCGCATATCGTATCTCATGCCATACGGTATAATGCGTACTTTTTTAAAAAGCATAACGCCTACTGCATAAAGGCGAACGGATGTGAATGTGGCCACATATGCAGAGATGAGGAAAGAGAGAAAAAAGGTGCGCTGTAAGTTCATGGAGCGAGCGGTTAGAGTGCTCTGTGTCGCGGTTAGCTGCTTTTTGTTAAATCTTTTTATGTTCTCATTTAACGGAGCTTTGCGCATCGGTTACAAATTGATAATTCCATTGGCTCCATCCGTCGCGCGGTGTGGCATCACACTGCGCTATCAGCCACCACGTATTGCCGTAGCTTGATGCCTCAGCGTAAACAGATTAACCCTCATATCCCTATCTCTCTCTCTTCCCCACGGTACATAAGCGACACACGTGTAAACTTCGACGCTTATATCTGTGCTACTGTGTCAACATGCAAACGAGGTATTATTAACGTTATAGGCTTCCGTCTGCGTATGTAACTCAGGCGGAGCGCACCTTAACGATTTCTTATTTCGTCGTTGCTGCAACACGTGCAAGTGCAATTTTTTTTCTCTACAGCCCGTGGGTAATAACGCAGCAGCTAACCGTGACAAATGGACGGTAAACGCGACGGAATTTCGGATTAAAATTTGCTTCTTTCTTTTTGCTCGAGACTGGAATTTATAGCGTGTGGTTGCCGTAATTTAATGTTCGATGGAGAATTTTTTTTTATAGAGTGTGTGTTCTCGAAAGTTTGACTTTGACAATGTAGTAGCTTACAAATTTGCCCATAAATTTGGTTTTACGTTGTCGGTTGAATAACTTGTGACGGTCTTTGGAAGAATTCATAGTCTTGTCGTGAAATTTATCAACTTTCTGAGTTGTCGCTCCAAGGATGTTGATGTTGATGTCAGTGTGTATTATGTCACTATATATTTACATTCATGTTCACGAGATGAATTTCAATTCAAATTACGCGATCAATGAAGATGTTATTTATAAAAATTATAGAAAAGTACTGTGAACAAGTTTTCAACATTACAAGAATCTAGATCAAAAATAATTTTGACATTATGGTGATCCACTGTTAAGTTTATAATCTTGTACCTCGATAACTCCAAATAAATCAGTTGTAATGTACTAAAGCTTATTTCAGCGATATTTTATAGTCATCAATGGACTATAATGCCAGCTCTCCCGTCAAAAACGATGATCGAACAATAAACCCTGCCAAATAGTTCAATAACCTATTCTATCTCTCTCCCTCTCTTTTCCCCTTTCTAATCTGCATGGCTCCCTTATCTCTTCTGATTCCTGCGTTATACCCGCCTAGCTCTCCTACATTCGAAAGCGATTCTGGCCAGCGTCCAACTCTATATATATATATAGAATTCTCTCGCTTAACGAGCATTGAAGATACGAGATACATAAAAAAGCAACCGCTCACGATCTCTCTTTTCGTGTCAGCGATGCTCTCGTGCTTTTGACGAGAAATCGCGGCAAGCACAAAGACTCTTTTTTATATTTTTCCAGTTGGCGGCTCTTTTTTGTTTCCACTAAGTTTCATCGGTTCGAGAATACTTGTCGGCTGAAGTTTACATAGCCACGTTTTTCAGCATTTTTTCAAAGATATAAGTTTGCGGTTTGGTTATTATTGTTGGTGTGAAAGTATAAGCAAACAGGTACAGTGAAAACATTTTTTTGTTAAAAGTTTGAATACTAATTAGTCGGCTAGTGAAATTTGTCATGCGTTTTCATGTTTGCCAACAAAATCAGCTACTCGAAAACTTGCTCCTTGCGAACTAGCGAAATTTCGTAGCGTCATGTGACACACGAATCTCCTTAGCATCGTGAATGTTGCAAACTTGGCGAAGACCAAGAAAAAGCTTGTCGGAAAGGTTCAAGAGAGTGGGTACATTGCAACTCTAGAGAAAATGAGAAAACCCTATTGCTTTGACCTTTCCAAGTTGCCTGGCTACGTTAAAAGCTCTCTACTGCTATTTATCTCAAAAGGTCGCGTCGAAAGGCTACTTCTCACTTCTCGTGAATTACTGATTTCTTTAATCTAAATTTTATGCAACGATGACTCCTCGAACCGAAATTTAAATCACTAGGTAAATATTTTGGTTTTGAAGCTGACAGTTAGACGTGTGAAATGGAAATTGATTGAATCTAATGTCAGAGACGGACAAATAGAAAGTTACGTAATTAATCAATGTTCCTTAATTTCGGTAGTGATGGAAAGTTATATATTGTTGCTATTTGTCAATAAATAAATCATGTGAATAAATTATCGTCAGCAAATCAAAGAATAGTAACAATGTTTTCTGACGAAAACGTAAAAGCCAAATCTGGAAAAAGGACAGTAAGGAATAGCTGTTGTAGATAAAACTAGACAAAACAGTAGTTGGCATCATTTTCTTATTGCTTACTACTAATGCACTAGGATAACTTTGCGAAAAATACAACTTCTTAACTTCTTGAAATGTTGGCACTCTCATTCGCAGGCTATGTATAAGTAGCTCGTTTATCATACTTAAGCACCGACAAATCACGTTAAATGTGATTTTGATCTGTCGCAAGCTTTATATACAGTAGCGTATATCGAATACACACGACTATCAAATACTTTTCTAAAACTTATGGCTTTTTGAAATATAGGTTGGCTTATCATTGATACGGTTAAAGGAAAACTCGGTAGAGGAGACTTACCGATATCTTGGATCCGGATATAGGATTACAAAAGACACCCATCTGAAACAATAATAAATTAATCGAGTAAATAATCGTGTTCTTACTCTTGTGAACTGCCAATTATTAACGAGGGAGTTTGAGAAAGCAGGAATTTTGTCAGCGAAAAAACTGCAGCAAAGTCCGGCACACTTCAAGCGGAGGGAAATGTTAAAGATGAATTTCCTTCTCAGCAAGCAGGAGGATGCAATTAACCGCTTGCTAGAGACTGAGGGAGAGAAGGGGCAAGCGAGTTAAGTGCAAAAATTTTACTTAATTTGAATTAATTCTAAGAGCAGGCGATCCCTCACGCACACTCCTACGAGATTTGCCACAGACGAAATCCGATTAAATTTAAGAGCTACTGCAAGCAAAAAACTAAATAGTAATGTCATAGCTGAATGGTAAATAACAATAATTTAACAATCGATACGATCGTGTACGTCATTTGATTTTTGCAGGTATTTATAGGGCGCTTTCCCCCAATTAAATTGCCAGTGCAACGGCGATGGCGCCTCATTACGCGAGCAATCAACGATATACCCTTTTCGCAGGGATATCGTCCGCCGTAATTGTTAGGAGTTCGTCCGATTAATTCCCGTGCACGCTCGTTCGCTGCGAGAACCGCTTTCCTTGTTATTGCCTATGTCCCAGATTTCTTGACGATGGGGCTCTCTCTCTCTCTCTCTCTCTCTCTCTCTCTCTCTCTCTACTCTGACTTTCTTGATGGAGTCGCTGATTCGGGTGATTGTGGAATCTCGAGAGAAGGAGAAGCTTTTAAACGGAGACTTTTCGCTGCGTTTATTGGATGATTTTCTTGCATTTTTCTCAATTTCACTTAATATAGTAGAAATCTAGAGCGGAATCGAAATTTTTTTTTTTACTTCAAATTACACGATTAAACTCTTTCAACGTATTTATCAGCGTTGAACAGCGGTAAATTCAAAGTAGCATAAATACATTGATTTAAAATTTTCATTAGTCAAAATTTAGAAATCATATTAGACTACTTTTTAATTAAAATGTGAAATTTTGTTTCGACATAGTATTATTATAAAGAAGAGTTCACACTTAACAATAAGCTATTATTAATTTTTTTTTATTAAATTTTTTTTTCCTCAATTAATTTACATCGTTGAGAGAAATAATAGTTTTTTATAGACGGACGTAAATTGCAGTTGCGAAATTCAGTTCTAACTACACCAACAGAGGGTTTTTGTACATTACGAATACAGAATTTAATCATAAATTAAGCCATTGTTGAAATAAATATAAATGGTCTAATTCTTACTTATAATCAATCTGCAGAAGCTTTCCAACACAACTTAAAACAACATTTTTGTAGGAATAATCATATTGAATTACAACAAGAGAGAGAGAGAGAGAGAGAGAGAGATGAGGGGAGGGGGTAGAGAAGCCTACAATGTAAGACTTAATTAATTGCAGTCAACTTCATTCAAGACGCTGCTTTAATAAACGCCAAACTTCATTAATTAGCAAATAATTTTGAAAGTTCAAGAGTCACGACGGCAGCAAAGCATCAGTAGCAGATTACAACGAACGTACGAGCAAAGAAAATGATTAACAAGTTACAAATGGCACAGACTTGCAGACATCGAAATAAAGAAATGAAGTGGAAAGGGACGAAAAGTTTTCTGCGCTTGCTCCGCTACAAGTGTCATTTCTCAAACAGTGCAGAGCCGCGCGAGAGTTTCATTTGTTGCGCCGTGAAATGGAAAGTAGTAGAAGACTGCAATGTTGCAAACTTTTTCGACCTATGATTTCTTGCTCTTGTTCGCGTCTCTTATTGCGGACTTTTGTGAATAGGCATTGTGCCTCGGCTCCTTTTTTCCGTATTATGCAAAATCGTGTTATGCTTTTTTTTGTGGCTACATATATTGCTACGAATCCTTTCAAATAGTCGCGTAATGTGCTGCTGCTGTGATAAGCTCCTTTATGAAAAGAACTGTTTAGTACGTAATTAAACAATTGATGTTAAATAAACATTTCAAGAACTCTAAAATATAGCATCAAGAAATGTGTATCGAGTTAAAAGTCATCGTCTTTAGAATTCACAGTTTAGTAGCAAATGAAAATTAAAAAAAGCCAAGGTGTACGATAGAGATTCAAGACTGCATGCGCACCACAGGCACGAATGGCTACTGTCGATAAGTAATCACAAACTCATTTTCTGGACGCACAAGAGAAGCAGAGAAAGAAAGAAAGAGATATGTTAGAAAAAGGCCGAGTCTGGTTAAAGGGGCCACCTTCCTTTCTGCCTATATAGCCGCATACATGGATTCAATGTCAAAAGCCGAACGGATGGCAGGAGAAATTTGATTACGCAATGCAAGAATTTATAGTAGCAGACTTAATGAAGTATTTGATTAAAGCAAAAAATACGAGTATGTGTGCGTATGACGGAAGATGGTCTCGTTACAAAAGAATCGTTTCAAATCGTTCGTGTGTGTGCTATATTTGATTTTAACTTATTTGAGGAGCCGCGCGCTCGTTTTGGAATGTACGCTTGTAAAAATGTGAATCGGAAAAATAAAAAACTATGTCTTCGAAAGCTTTTAGAAATCGTTTAGGTGGGTGTTGCAGCCACTGCTGCTGGACACACTCCAAAAGGGAGGTAGCTCTCGAGAATGAGAGCAGACGATGACCATCAGCAACACTGCTATCAACACTGTGCGCAAGAGAGCAATTAAACAGGCGTCAGTATAATTTCTTATCGGACAAGCTTACGCAAGAATGCGAAATACACTGTGCATTTAGGGTGCATTTGTATGACTGCTGTTTACTGATCGACCTAGAAAACCTTTTCCGACATGTGAATTCTTTTTATTCCTTAAAGTGTAACGGGTAACTTAAAATTTTTTCTAGAAGACATAATATTTAATAATATTTGGCTTATTAGACAATAAAACTCGACTTGTTTGTAACGGCAATTCTTCACAAATGCCTAATCGAATAATCTTTAATATTTAATTTTGAGCAAATACTCGCTACAGAAATGAAACCAAATGATCTGACAGAAAGAAATGGAACAGAAAGAGCAAAGTCTAGTATTCTTTCTCTGTTCTTTCTCTTCGTGCTATTAATTTACCTGCATTCCCAATGCGAGTAAGTGCTCGTGAGTCGTTAGCGGCGTCACCGAGTATTCCGCCAAATTTATAACCAACCTTTATTACTCGGGAATTTCAATTTGCATTTTAGCCGCAGATCTCATTCGTTTTTCGTCCTCGCTGTGTGCTCTTTTTTCTTTATCTTTTTGCAGCTCACGAGGATTTCTCCTTATGAAGTAGCGCGCCACCGTGGCCACAAATATGTTTTTCCACCTACTCTTTTTTCCAAGCTTCAGAATTTTTTCTATGAGAATGCTATGCATTAGATTTTGCAGGATTATGAGCTGGATTTTACGAGGGAGCAACGTTGCTGAATAGAAGATACCTTAGGCAACTGCACGCAGTTATTATTATTTGCTATGATTTATGTTGAATACACTAGAAATATAGGATAATTAAGTTTAGAGCAGACTATAATGACAAAAGCTGAAAGCATACCAGATACTCTAACATGATTACTCGAAAATTCAAGGCTTTTAGAATTGGGCAAGCAACTTTAAAGGCACTAATTACAGGAAAACGGAGTTTATGCTCTTGGCGCAGAAGCTTTGATTCAAGTTACAATGAGAGATAGCGATGGAAGCGGTAGAGGGGGCTGAGCTGAGAACCAATGTGAAACATTTCAAACTGCATACAATGCCACTCATCGCTCTGTAAGCGGTCAAAAATATGCTCTCTCGTGCACTGGTCAAATACAGCAAGTACTTTGCTCGACTCTCGCCGTTGCACGTTTACTATTTGTCCGCAAATTTCAATACTCTCCCGATGTGTTTGCCAGAGGAGTTAGCATGTTTGTCTCGGAAGAGTTCTCACATCTATGTCTGTGCCGATATTTTTTGAAATACCTGGAAATAGTGTATCTATGCTCTATTGGTACACATTTGCTGTCGTTTGGTGTACGATTCAAAATAAACATCGAGTGCAAGCAACTCTGAACGTCTTTTCTAGCAAAAATTTTGTCGAGATAGCGAAGTCACGTACGTATGTAATTCCATCGAAACGAACAAAATGCCGGCAACTGGCCTTCGGTTTGTTTATATATTTGGCTTACCACTGCACAGAGCAGGCAGTTAAAATGGATATCGACGGCAGAGGATCCCCCATCGAAGTTTGCGTCGACGGACGGTTGTAACGCAAGATCTCAGTTGGCTCTCCACAGGGTGCCAAAATCCAATATTAAACGCTTTGTCGAGACTTTTATCGTTGGCAAAACAACTCAACTTTAAAGAAAAATGCTAGCGCCTAGGCGGCAAAGGCTTCCGCATCGTTGCCACGGCGACGACGACAGTCGATTGTGCAAACTGTGCGTATATAGTAGCTCTGCAGCAGCCGTGTATGTAAAGCCTCGTTTTGACTGCAGACGCCGACGACGGCGTCGACGGCGTCGGCGTCGGCGTCGGCGTCGGCGTCGGCGTCGGCGTCGAAGTTGCGTGAGCGCACGGGAAGTTACAAGTGGATGCTCGAATGCTTAGGATCAAAGGACGAAATGTTACGGTTAAAGGATGCGCTACGTACGTGTATGTGTGTTTCTCACGATACGTATTTGCATTTCATTGTCAGTAAAGTTTGAGTTGGCGGAAGAAGGCAAAAGAACGACGAGTTTGCCAGACAGAGTTATTTGAGTTATTTGAGTTGCGAACAGCCGGAAAATGTATTCGACACTGCCTAATAAGTTTAAATGAAAAGCAGTTTATTAAAAGCATATTAAAAGCATACTTTTGGAGCAAGCACATTACATGTTTTCGCAGCGTCAGCGTACGGTTTTCGCTGACAGTAACACTTTTGAGAAGAGATAAAAGGAAAACGAGGAAATCGAGCTCGTAGAACGAGTGCAGCGGGTCAAAGGATTAGCTACACATACGTGTGTACGTGTGCACGCAAACAATTCCGAAGGCT